GGTGGGCCCCCTGGCAGCTCAGAGTCACGTTGTCCCCGGGGAACACCTGGAGCCACGGGGGCTGGAGGCTCACCACGGCCTTCGGGAGACCTGGCGGCAGAGAGCAGACAGGGCTGGAGCTCAGTGACCTGGGAGGCCCATGGATTCCAAAGGAGCTCCCAGGGGCCCTCAGGCCGAATCTACTATAGATCCAACTACAGGCCCATGTGCTCTGGCAGCCTCCTCCCTTTGTGTCTTCCTTGACGCAAGGGCGTCATGACGTAACCGTCCCGCCCCCTCCGGTTTCCTGCAGTTTCGCGTGGAGGCTGGAGGGAGGCAGTGGGCGTGGCTAAAGGTTAAAAAAAGGGAGCGGTTTTTTATTTAAATTTTTTTAAATTTAAATTTTGCCTTGCAGGTCTTTAAGAATAGAATAGAAGAGCCAATGACTCTTAAATTCCTAGCATAGAGAAGGTCGCAACCGCACCAATCGAATGTTTTTATGTCCTGAGACAGTGAAAGACTGGATGGAGGTCATGTGCTGTGTCTAATAATGTTTAGCAAAATCTTAGTGAAACGAGGGCGATCGGAATAGGGTCTGGGGGGATTTAGCTAGGATAAAGAGGGAGACCAAATCTGGAAGTACCAAATCACTTAAAAAGTCTTTCCTGAAAGGAAATGTTATAGTCTGCGGAGTGAAATGATAAGAGAAATGGGGATGATTAACCAAGAATAGCAAGTCAGATTGAGTCAGAAAAATGATCTTTCAGCCAGAAATTGTCTCCAACAATGGCATCAGGAGATGGTTACTTGCCCAGGATGAGGTCAGTTTAAAAAAAGACTAGAGGTTACCAACATATTCCTAATTTTCCTGTATTTGCTGTGATTCCAGCATCCAAGAGTTCATTTAAAGTCCTGAGACTGTTTTCACTTTCCCCAGGAAATGAGCTTATAGGCTCCATAAATGTAGAACCTACTGCGTTAAATAGTTACAGTTCTTTCTTTTGTTGATTTTAAAATTCTTAGTTGGAGCCAGAGTATTATATGGTTTGGATTGGGTCATGAAAACCAGAACAATTCAGCAAGCACCCTTTCCTATCCCAGTACAGGGAGCAACTATGAAAGTACTGGCAAATTTATTATCTTTTAGCTACTTTCTGGCAAATGAAAATGGTAAGGCCATTTAAATTGTTTTTTAAAAATGAGAAAGGAGGCTCTTGAACTTTGACATTCTAATGCATCTTTTAGGTAAAGTTTAAGAAGTCTTGCTAGAAATCAAAATGTAATTTCTATTACAGGTTTAACAGTCATGTGATCACTTACATAAATCAGTTAGTCATTATACTCAGCTCTTTAATCTTTGAAGAACAGAAATACTTTTTAACCCAAAGGATGCTTTGATAATTAAAATTTACAGAGAATTTTTTAGGTCCTTAGTGTGAATAATATACAGTAATATGTCTTATACCTTAGTAGAAACCTTGTCTTCGAAACCCATCCTGAGGTCAGGATGTGAAATAAGACCACATAATATTCCTGTTTCTTAAGAGGGTGGGAGAAAAAAAGGAACAAAGTGTAACATTATACTGCTTTTGTGGCAGATAGCTAATGGAATGTTTCATTTCTAATTCTGTAATTTCAGTAATTATTAGAGACACTTTTCATCAGTAAGTTAGATCAACTGGTTAAATCAAATATGAATTTATAAATGCTTAATGTAATTTTGTATTGATTTACCAGATTGTTAAAAGTAGTGATAAATGCATTCAGCTTTTAGAAAAATAAGTATCATTTGCCTGCTTGTCCCATTACCTTCTTATTACATAAACTTCTTGATTTCTTGTTATGGTACTTCTAAATCACAGTTTAAGGAAAAATCTTAATATGAAAGACCATTTCTCCTTGATGAACATGTAAAGGATTTATTATGAAATTAAAGTGATGACAAAGATAATTTAGAAGAGATCATCAGTTAGTGAGCTATATTTCTGGTAAGATGGGGTTAGAAATGTCAAAAGACATCTTAGCAAAAATAAGATTTAAAAAGTTAAATGTTTTATTTATATGTTCAAAGATTTCTGTGTGTTTAAACTAATAGTTCTCTTAAAGGTAAGTTTTACAAGGGGTTTAAAGGTCCTAGTTTCTTTTATACATTTGCTCTTTAAAAATTTAGAGTATTTATTGCATAAAACTCCTATGAAGAATGGTAAGAATTTTGGTTGTTGTAAATAGGTTTGAAATCATTTTACAGAGGACAAAAAATTGTATAACTATCAAACTACAAAAAGCTATGTGATTCTTGTTTGACCCACAAAGGATTAAAAGCCTTCACGTAAATAATTAAAATGATAGAAAGCAGGATTTATGTGCAGGTATGTATGCTCTGTTTGTGGAGAATTGATAGCAAATAATCATGGTAGCCTAACTCACTGGAAATGGGGAGATCCCTGAAGTCCCAAACCTCAAAACCAGGGGTCTGATGCAATTCTAGCTCCATGCCTGCACCCAGAAATCATAGGTGAAAACTTTGATTACTGCTCTAGAGTCCCCAGTTTGTCCTATACCTGGTATTTCCCTCAAAGACTTAATTTGAAGCAATGTAAGTACATTTAGGAAGAATAAAATGGGTGGAGATGGGGGTGGGGGAAGGAGTTAGAAACTAAGGACTTTCCATCGATGGGAAAAAAACTATTGCAGCAAGATCTTTTCATCAGTTGAGAGTACTATGCCCCCAAATTCTACTAGGTTATCTAACCACTAGAGGCCCGGCGCACAAAATTCATGCACGGGTACGGTCCCTAGGCCTAGCCTGTGATTAGGGCCATCTTCCCCAGCTGCCTGCAGCCAGCCCTGCCCCTGGCCCCTGGCCCCTATCTCCCCATTCACCATCGGGCAATTGGAGCCTGCCTGCCAGAGAGAGGAACCAAGAGGTCAGCCATTCCTGCCCACTCGCCAGCCCTGCCCCTGCCGCGGGTCGCCCTTTGTGTGTGGGGCAACTGGTGGGGTGGGGACCTTGGCCTAGCACCACTTGCGTACCCCGCCACCCACCCCCAGTTCCCCATTCGCCATCGGGTGATAGGAGCCTGCCAGCCAGGGAAAGGAACCGAGAGGTGGTCAGTGCGCCTCATAGTGACTGATCAAGTGGTCGTTCTGGTTGTTCCACCATTAGGGTCAATTTGCATATTACCCTTTTATTATATAGGATATTAGTACCAGATGGTAAATTGTTACATAGTCACAAGATCCTGGAATGTGATCTGTGGATACTCAAGAAAAACTGTTTTTAAAAATAAATGCATTAAAATAGTAATGGTATATTAATTTAAAATAGTAATGGTATATTAACCTAAACATTCTGGGATAGAGAAAAGAAAATCAGACTTTTGGTACAAATTAAGCAACTGCTTGGGTTAAGAGAAGAAAACCTTAAGAAATAATGCTATCAGTCAGACAGTGACATTTATTGAGCACTCCCTGTGTGCATTAGGAATTGGATAGCCTGTATCCCAGCCAACAAATTTTTCTGGGATTTAGACATAGATTATATTTATTTTCTATGTTTTTATCACCAAATTGTTAGAAAAATAAAAAATGAAAGACAGTTTTCAGGTACCAAAAAGCATGTACTTGAAATAAATATGAGTTGTCTAAACAAGTAGTATTTGATTTATTACTATGATCTGGGTTCCATTTCTGGAACAATATCTTATTAATAACCCCTTGCAGTGAGGCCATTGTGTAATATTATCCAAAAAGGTAAAGAAATGCAATGAAAGAAGGACTAAGGCTAATGAAATTCCATGAATGCTTTTATAAAGGAAAACATAATCTGCTTGGCGGGTGTGGTTCAATGGTTGAGTGTCAACTCATGAACCAGGAGATTGCCGGTTCTATTCCTGGTCAGGGCACATGCCCTGGTTATGGGCTCAGTCCTCATGTGGGGGTGTACAAGACACAGCCCAATGTTTCTATCTTTCTATCCTCATCCTTTCCTCTCTCTCTAAAATCAATAAAATATATATGCATATAACTTATTTAAATATACTTAAAAAGTCAGTTCTTCAAAAAAGAAACAATCTGATTGAGATGCACAAATTTTACTTGAGAATGAAGTGTGTAAAAATTTCACATTTAAGGTAATTTCTATAAGATACTCTTCTAGAGTTTGCTATACTATGAAATAATGATGTACTCTTTAAATAGTGAAGATGTCCTTGAGTCCCAAAGTCCTTTGAAGGTCAGGCAAATCATAGCAATTTGGGGGGGAGGGGAGTGCATTTTGAACTAATCTTATCTAATAAAGAGGGAATATGCTAATTGACTGCCCCACCCTCAAAGATGGCAGCACCCACAGCCAATAAGGAGGGAATATGCTAATTGACTGCCCCACCCTCATAGATGGCAGTGCCCACAGCCACAAGATGGCAGTGCTCAGTCCCCTCAGTCCCGCTGGGGCGGCAGGTGCATGGCAAGGCCGGGCCCACCCGCGCGCCTGCCTCCAGAATCCCCCAGTCCCCTCAGCCACCCAGGGCCGGCCAAGTCGCAGGCAAGCTTTGGATGGTGGCTGCCCAGCTGCCCAGGGCTGCCAGAAGCTCAGGTAACCAAAGCTGGCTGAGGCTTGCGCTGCCGGCAATGGCAGC